TCGGCCACGCCCCCTTCTGGAACCTACCAGAAGGTTCCCGGCTTCACCTCACGTGTCCCCTATATCACATTTGCCCTACATCCCTTTCGCCGGCCTATCACATGCCCTGCCGGCAGACCGGGCTGCTAGACCCTCAGATCCCCCTCTCTGCCAGTAACCAGCGCTACGCATCCGAGTGTCCCATTCTATGTCACTACACTAGGATTCCATATGCCAAAGTTAAGTGATGCAACCATTCATACTTTGTCCTGAATGTACATTAACGGATTTACAACACGTCTGTGCATGCTCCCGAGTGAATTTCAAAGTAGTCCATGAAGTGTGGCTAAATGGTATCTTCGTCTCATGCAGACAATTGACAGGCTCTGATGTACAAGCTACAGCAGAAAAACCACTCCAACAACTATCGTGGAGCATTTATAGCTATAACTATTTTTAATTCTGTTCACGGGCATGTTTTGTTTGCAACAGGAATAAACATTTCGGGCAATGGCTCGTCATATGTTTGGTTTTTTTCCTCCGATTGTTGGGGCCATTACTCGTAAATTTGGCCTTTTATGTTATTTTCAATTTTCAAGGAAGTTTTTATTTTTAAAGACAACGAGCAGCCCCACAGGTTCTTTAAACATGACCGCCACGTCCATCCCGCCCACCCGCCATCCAACCCACCATGCCCACCATCTATTCCACCCACCATGCCCACCATCTATCCCACCCACCATGCCCACCATCCATCCCACCCACCATTCCCGCCGTCCATCCCACCTACCCACCCTCCAGCCCGCAAACCATCCCACCCACCATGCCCACCATCCATCCCACCCACCATGCCCACCTTCCACCCCACCTACCCACCCTCCAGTCCACAATCCATCCCACCCAGCATGCCCACCATCCATCCCACCCACCATGTCCACCATCCATCCTACCCTTCATGCCCACATTCCATCCTACCTACCCACCTTCCAGCCCACAATCCATCCCATCCCACCTACCCTCCAGCCCACAATCCATCCCACCTACCCACCCTCCAGCCCACAATCCATCCCACCCACCATGCCCACCGTCCATCCCACGCACCATGCCCACCTTCCATCCGACCTACCCACCCTCCAGCCCACAATCCATCCCACCCACCATGTCCACCATCCATCCCACCAACCATCCCACCTACCCATCCTCCCGCGCACCATGCCCACCATCCATCCCACCCACCATGCCCATCAACTATTCCACCTACCCACCCTCCCGCCCAACATGCCTACCATCCATCCCACCCACCATTCCAGCTGTCCATCCCACCCACCCGCTGTCCATCCCTCCATGCCCACCATGCCCGCCCTGACAAGCGAGGTGATACCACACTTGCCACTGATGTTAGCTGCTAAAAAAATCACACTCGGATTGCCGGGTTCACTGTGCTGTGCGCACACCATGTACACAATACAGGGTGTTTGAAAATGATGGACTCGATTTGAAATCGCTATATCTCTGCAACCACAAACCGCCCATGAATGAAACCCTTACCACTTGAAAGGGCGGGGCATAGAGTTTCAAATGATTACCACAAGATGCCTCTCCCAGCGCACAAACAGCCCCTAGCCTCAGTCATTCGCAAGACAACACTGCCTCAACGCTGGATAGGTCACACGGGACCCCAAGACTTGGCGCTACACTCTTGGCCCCCAAGATCCCCAGACATCACACCCTGCGACTTTTTCTTGTGAGGATACGTCAAAGATCGTGTTTTGTGCCACCATTAGCGACTAATCTGGATGACCTCAAAAACAGAATCACGGCAGCGGTGACTTCAGTGGAAGAAGACACTTTGAGAGTCGTTTGGGACGAATTCAACTATTGTCTCGATGTCCATACAGCAGGTGGAGGGCACATAGAGCATTTATAAAATTTTGATTTAAAGCTTTCGTGACTGCAGTGACTCATATTCTTGGTTTTTTCGGTAAAGTCACGTTGAAGGGAAACAATAAAATATATATAAAACAATAAAATTCTCACGACATTTCGACTGCAACACAAGCAGTCATCATCAGGTGTGAAAAACCAACGGCACTTCTTTCAAATGTTCTTGCCGTTGGTTTTTCACACCTGATGGTGACTGCTTGTGTTGCAGTCGAAACGTCGTGAGAATTTTATTGTTATATATATTTTATTATTTTATTGTTTCCCTTCAACGTGACTTTACCAAAAGAACCAAGAATATGAATCACTGCAGTCACGAAAGCTTTGAATAAACATTTAAATGGCGGTTTGTATTTATTAATTTTTAAACGTTAGCACCACGGATAGCGATTTGACAGTTTGTTTAGATGGACGAGTCCATCTATGTTCGGAAAAGAGGAGGGGGGAGATGAAAAATTAATGTATGCTGTCTGAAAGCCACCATAAGCGTGAACAATCAATTAAGACCCGAAATGGTTGATCAAATCCTTCCAATGATCGCTAAGCAGAATCCATCTTCTCGGTTGAAATTGTCTCTGTGTTTGTATATGTGGATAGCCTCATGAACGAATCTCTCATGGTAGCCAGATGGCTTGCAAAGAACCTCTGTCTTGGAGAAGTCAATGTCATGTGAGCCTACTGAATTATAACAGTGATCTGCCACGGCCGAGGTGTTGGTCCTACCGTGTTTAAGGTCTGCTTTGTGTTCACGAATGCGATCCGAGACATGTCGTTTGGTTTCTCCAATGTAACTACTACCACAGAGGCAACTTAGTTTGTAGACACTAGGGTACTGTATGTCCGGAATCACATCTTTTACAGACGGAACCAGATCACGGATTTTATGTAATGTGTTGAAACGGACCTGGATCTTGGTGCTAACGTTTAAAAATAAATAAGTAAATACAAACCGCCACTTCTTTCAAATGTTATTGCCGTTGGTTTTCACACCTGATGATGACTGCTTGTGTTGCAGTCGAAACGTTGTGAGAATTTTATTGTTATATATATCATTATTTTATTATTTTATTGTTTCCCTTCAACGTGACTTTAACGAAAGAACCAAGAACATTTATAAAATGTTTCGTAAAATTTGATAACTCATTAAACCGTTTGTAACTTTTTGTGTAATTGTAACATGTTGCCATCGTGAAATATACTGCTTTGAAGTTGGGTCCATCTTTTGAAACACCCTGTATAACAGCAGTCCCCAACCTTTTTGGCACCAGGGACCGGTTTTGTGGAAGACAATTTTTTCAATGACCGGGGGGGTGGGGGGGATTCATCATTGGGTCTTTCCCCCTTTTCAAAGAAGCTCTCCAGCGACGTTTGTTTTTTACTCATTTTGGCTTGGGTTAGCTTGTGGGCTTACCAAAACTGTGACTGAGACAAGTGCACAGTGCGGGAAAGAGGCACGGATGGAAGTGGTAAATAAAATAATGGGCGGGCCATGCGTGGACTAAAATAACTGTCGGATTCTGACTTCTCATAAGGAGCGCGCAACCTAGATCCCTCGCATGCGCAGTTTACAGTAGGGTTCGCGCTCCTATAAGAATCTAATGCCGCTGCTGATCTGACAGGAGGCGGAGCTCAGACGGTAAAGCGAGCGATGGGGAGCGGCTGTCAATACAGATGATGAAGCTTCGCTCGCTCGCCCACCGCTCACCTCCTCCTGTGCGGCCCGGTTCCTAACAGACCACGGACCGGTACTAGTCCACGGCCCGGGGGTTGGGGACCCCTGCTGTATAATACAAAACGACCACTTGCACAACCATGCCAATTCTTAAATAAATAACACGTACATAAATGAACATAATAAAAAATGATAAAAATATAACCGAGATGGAAAAATCATTTTAATCATGCTCAACCTTACAATCGTATGCATTGTATTAGATTATATTGGGACACATATAACATACATAAAGGTGTGTGTGTTCGTCTGTCAGTGGGAGAAACCAATTAATGTAAGTACAGTCACCACTGACAAACTTTGCAGTGACACATTTAAGTGTTAACTGTAAATGGGTTTGTTCTCAACAAAAATAGATTTCAAATTAATATGCCCTCTGCCGTTACAATGTAAATTTTACGTGCACTGTTTTGACATTGAGAGATTCGGACACAACAAAGGAACAATCAGCATATTTGAATAGTTCCTACCCTCTGAGGATGTTGGCTTGGTCCATCCACAGCGAATAAATAGCAGCAAGTGTTGCCTCAACTGAGCAAAACATTGAGCCCATCAAATGGCAGTGGTTTCATGTTGCCGAAATTGCCTTGAGTACACCATGATAACATTGGCGCTATGGGATTAACAAAATGGGCAATATAAAGCAACGAAAGTAGAAGTTAAAACTACCACTATTGTGCAAAGTCAAATACAAAAATGGAATAAAAATACAAGCCTTTACTATTGGCACCAAAACAATTCTAAATGCATTTTTTCAGCTTGCACAGTTCAGTGATTTAAATACTTCACGTACATACATATCCTATAGACTACCTTGCTAAGATGATGAGCATTTGATACGTTAAATAATGCAAACAAAGCCCCTTCACAAACTAAATTGCATACAGAGAAGAATCACTGACTCAAGTATAAATGTGAAAAGACAAAGGTATGGGTATCGGCTATAAAGGAATCCAATTGTGCTTTTGAATGAGTAGCATATGAACAGGCCGTATTACATGTTCAGACACGATGTAAAAGGTACATCTGAGCGGTCTGCGTTATACCATAAAACTGTGTCGAAAACATGATTACTAATTTATAGAAAGTCAACATTGCCTGTCCTTTGAACAGACTCACTCCTGCCATAGAAATGACGATTCTCAAGCACTTGCATTGGGGCTACAAATGGAGATGCGCACTACCTCAGTGCTTGCTTGAGCATGACAACACTCTTGATGCTGAACTTTAAAAAGTGGAGGAAAAATCATAACGTTCTCTCATACATACATACATGTATGCATGCGATGCAATCCCAAAACCCCCACAGTGGAACATGGACAGACGATTCCCACGTTGTTGCACGCACCCCCTGGCAGAGTGGCAGGTTGCTTGTCTGCTCAATTCCTCCAGCGAAGGCGGTGCCCGTAAGTCCGATGCTGAAGCAGAGGTTGAGAAGCAGATGCCAGCCCTTGCGGCTGATCAGGATTACGCTGCAGAAAACAAGGGGCGACAAGGTGATCTTTTTTTAACGCTCTCCTCAAACCACATTTCCGCTTACTCTCTCCCCACGAACACTCTGCCTCGCAAATATGTAAGTATGCATGTTGAACTTCTTTCGCACCGTATGTAGCCTACCATGCGAATCGAAGGCGCAAACTATATCTTTCGTTCAGCCTCGCAGCGGCAGCTTTTGACTAACCATAGAACAAAGACGGTCGACTGCATCGCACGCTTTTCAGATGTGCTTCTGCGACCGTCTGGAACGTCCTTCTAATATTAGGAAGCCACTGGAGCTATTCACTTTTAAATCTAGATTGAAAACTCATTTATTTACAACTGCGTTTTGCATTAAATTTCTTGTCCTTCCCCCACTCCTCCGCTTAGCATGGTTGACTACATACGGTGCAAAAGAAGTTCAACATACATACATACATACTCCCCCCTCCCTGTCCCTCCATCTCCCACACACACAGCAAGGATTGTAATTCATTTCTTATAAGCTAATGGATACCTTTCAAATTACAATGCTCTCACTGGCATAGCAAACTTAAAATTGTAATATTATAGACACCCAGACCTGGACAAAGTTAACACTTACCCAGCAACCGTTGTTTTTCCATTTCATACACAAGATTTGCTCGGTAATATTGCATTGTGGATCATACTGTGGTCTTACATTTGCATGTTGTCAAGCTAAGCACAATGCTGGCAGCTGTGGGCCTTAAACGGTAAAATATTTTTTTTATTTAGTAAATAGTAGTTTAGGAAATATTTCACCATGAAAACATGGTGAGTGGAAAATATGTGCTCGAGCTTAAGACGACACATACCAATGACAACACAATTCTGGATTAAATTTCAGTCCATGGAACAGCAACAGACTGCAGAGATGTAGTAAATATAAATGCCAATACCCAGGCTGCCCATAACACAAATGAAAGTAGACAGGATGCTCTTGCTATCCAGATCCCAACACTCCTGCCAATATCGTGGTGCACTAAACTTCCCAACTACCACCCCTGTGGGGACAAAAACACTCAGTCTCAATTCTGTAAAATCAAAATTTATTGAGCGCTGGTAACTGTAGTCGGGTTGAATGTCATGTCACAAGCAAACACTGTGCTCTATTTCATTGTGAACATTTGTAATGCCTTTTAAGTATTACTCTTTAAAAATGATGGCTATTAACAGAGGGCTGTACATTCGTACGTATGTATTTTAATCTGAAAAATGTCATCCAAAATTTACAATATAATACACCGTAGGCACCAGTTAACTGTGGATATAATTACAAATGCATGGCAACATGTAAATTAAATAGGTATTTACATCATTAGACCTCCTTTGCCAGTACCAAAATGTAATAATAGGGTTTATATTATATATTATCATAGTATGTTTTTTGTTTGCATTTTGACTGCAGGTATTGTGGTTAATGCAGACATGAATCCTTGTAAAAAGGTTTCAGTTTTGTTGCCAGAAAAAGGGGAAAAAACCCTATTATTAAATAGGTATTCTTCCATCTAAGCCACTACAATTTGTATGGTAATTAAAGTATAATACATTACTTATGAACTGGATTATGAACAACTTGCCGTACTCTTGGGAGTTCTATAGTTATATGAGAGTATAACTTACAATATTTGAGGGCATCAGGTCACGCTTTTAGAGGATGAACATAACTGTTAAAAGTATGCACTCGCAGATATTACACACCATAAAAAACATTGCATATATCCTGTTATATGAGTAAATATTGTCTGGGATTATTTATACTGGCTGTGGCCGAGCACTGTACCTGCACCACGGAGATCCTGGGCCCAATTTCAGGCAGAAACTCATGATTTTAATCAGGTTCTCAAGTTCATCAATTTTACCAACCGAATCACATATAGCCATCATCCTGTTGTAGCAAAGCTATACATGTAAATGCGATGTATAGATGTGAACCAGCCAATTATATAAATATCTCCCTGTAGGGTAAACAAACGTTGAGTATTATGCTTTTATTTTCCTCTTACACAGCAAAGTATGTTAAAAGGGAAATTACTCCACAATTATATTTTTTCAATTGTTCTCACTGCACAATTTTTCTATTTTATTTTCATTTTGGAGGGATTAATCAGCCCACAGAGATCATTTTTGGCATCATCTAAATGAACACATTAATCGAAGGACTAAATTAATGCAATGTTTGGCAGCTCTACAGTTTATTTGCTGTGCACACTGCTCTTGGAGCTAACCTATCCAGACACTTCTGTTTCCGCACATCTGCTTCTGAGCAGATGTGCGGAAACAGAAGTGATTATTGCTGATCCCTGCAGGGTCCCTGTGGATGGATAGGCATGGTTGGTCATCTGTCTAACATATCAGCCCTTCTGTTGAGCATTCCCTGGGACTACACTTCTTAGAGTGGAATACAATTTAAATTGCTTAGCCAACCTTTAAGTGTCTGTATGAAATACTGATTTAAATACAAACACATTTATATTGTTGAAATGTAAAAAAAAATACACGTTATGGTCAGGGATGTGTACATTTCATCAATACATACTGGAGCTAGGAAATTATCATGACTCACCGTGTGGAAATGTGATTTGATTTTTGACTGGAATACAATACTTAATTGTCGGAGTGGCAGATTTGTGGATGGGGGGGCTACTTGGAGCCCAGTTCTGTTTTCAGGCAAGAAGGGAAGGCCTGAGGAGCCGAGTCGACTCGTGGAATCACTATTGCAACATACGGCGAATGAAGTGTGCAGAATTGGCCTGATTCCACCCCAACTCCGGCATGGAATTCTGGCAATAACAGGAGGGCACGGTGGGGCCTGGCCAACCAAGTGGAATCGCCATGGAAATGAATGGGGATCTACTGGGCAATTCCTAGGCCCTCAGAGAATCTCCATTTATTATAAAGGGGATGTAGAAAGTAATATAGAAATGAATTGGAATCTACTGGGTGTCTGGGAGAGGAGGGCGGCATTGGCCAATGCCAATGACGGTGACGTCACCTTGCGTGACCTCGGTTTTGAAATCACCCCGACCTTGACTCTGCAGATGCTAGGACCATTCTTTGTCACAGAACAGTGGTCGGCGTTGGCTTAAATTACAGTGTAAAAATATTTTTGGGTTCCTGGGTAGTAAGTGTTATTTCCTAACTGCGAATGCCTCAAAAGTACAGAAAATGCCTATTATTCCCCACAAACTTTGCTTTTGTGACCAGGACAGTGATGTTTTGAAATGTACCTATTTTCCAGAACATTCCAGGTAGCTTCAGTGCTGAGTAAACTTGGAGTAACTTATAGAACATTCTAGAACTTTCCAGTAATATAAATAGTATAAATACCGGGGCCTTAAGCCCACTAGTTCAGTTTAGTTCCAGCTGCCTAAAGTGAATACATATCTGCATTTTTCTGAGATGACATCAAGAGGCTGCAAGCATCCGGCAGATGTATTTTGCTATGTCTGCGGCCAATTTATCAAGACAAGAGCGAAAAAATACTCTGTGGAAGCATCTGCTAAGATGTGTGAGGCCGACAAGGCATATTTTGGCATGCCTGTCAGGGATCAAGACAAACCCTGGGCACCTCATTTCACCTGCGAGCAATGCAAAAAAACTCTGGAAGGCAAGATGGAAATTTTTGCTCGGAATTTAATGTTCTAAAATTTGTTAAAATTTTTACAATTGTAAAAGTTTATCATTTAAAAATGGTTTACAATTTTCAATGTTATTGAAAAAAACATCACATATATGAAAAATGTTGCGAGACTCTCTTACACATTAGTTATGGGTGAAATAAAAATATTTTTGTAGGATGGTACAGAAGTGAAAAGAGAGCCATGAAGTTCGCTATCCAAAGAATTTGGCGTGAACCCACTGACCACTCAAGCAACTGCTCTTCTCCATGGTGGACCCTTCCAAACGTCGGACTTGCAAGCAGTGTGCAAGTCGCAGATCAGAGGACGCGTCACCAACCTTTTTGCAGCTTCTTCACCTGTCAAGATGGGCTCTGCTTCTGCCACAATGTGACCAGTCTGTTCGAGGCAATCGAAATTGCTTGTAACCAGAATGAGTGGCGCCTCTTCATTAATAGCTTATCCAGGAGCCTCAAAGCCGTGCTGCTCCGTAATGGTAACAAGTACCCGTCTCTTCCCCTGGCTCACTCGGTACACCTCAAAGAGGATTACAACAGCATCAAGACCTTGCTGGACGCCTTGAAGTATGATGAGTACGGCAGAGAGGTCATCGGAGACTTCAAAATTGTGGCTTTCCTGATGGGCCTCCAAGGCGGTTTTACCAAGTTTCCCTGCTATCTTTGCCTTTGGGACAGCAGGGACATCAAGGCGCACTACTACAGGCGGGACTGGTCGCAGCGGACCGAGTTCTCTGTGGGGAGGAACAACGTCAAGTGGGAGCCACTGGTGGACCCCCGGAAGGAGCTGATGCCACCACTGCACATCAAATTGGGCCTTATGAAACAATTTGTCAGAGCTGTAGATTAGGAGTCAGCAGCCTTCAAGTACCTTCAAGACTTCTTTCCTAAGCTGTCTGAGGCAAAGGTTAAAGCCGGTGTCTTTGTTGGACCACATATAAAGAAGATCCTGGAGTGCAATGAATTTTCCCAAGAAGCTCACTAGTAAGAAGTGGCTTGGAACAGCTTTGTCGCAATGGTTCGTGGCTTCCTGGGCAATCACAAGGTCGAAAACTACGTGGAGCTGGTTGAGACTGGTGAAGAACTACGGCACAATGGTCTGTAGGATGTCCCTCAAAGTCCATATCCTTGATGCTCATCTTGATAAATAAATAAATAAATTCAAGGAGAAACATGGGAGCGTACTCGGAGGGGCAAGGCGAGCGCTTCCACCAGGATATACTGTACTTTGAATGCCACTACCAAGGACAGTATAACGAGAACATGATGGGAGACTACATTTGGGGTGGATTCGTGAAAGTGATTTACAGTGTAATCGTAAATCTACAAAAACTACTC